TATATATATATATATATATATATATATATATATATATATATATATATATATATATATATATATATATATATATATATATATATATATATATATAGACACACACACACACACACACACACATATATATAATTTTACTATCCTATATTAAACTTGCTTGCACAAGTTTAATATAAGATTCCGGAGCAAGTTCGTGAGGATACGTTGGAGGCTTCATACGTTTGGCAATACGTTCATCTCCTCAAAACCGTCCCTAACCGTTTCTCCGTTCCCCGCTTTCACCGCTAAGGTAACTTTCTTACTATAGCTAGTAATTTACGTAAGTTGTTCTTGGGTGGAATCTAGCTTTGGACTCTAAATCTTTGTTTTCCGCAGTGTTATCCAAGCTTCATTTCCCAACAACACGTAGGTAACAGGAATGATGAATTAGGAAACAATCATAGAGGGCATCGTTGGATGAGGAGATGGATAGATGTAGGTCTCAAGAAGTTTATTTAATTTAATATTATATTTGAATTTAATATATTTTCAGGCAAAGGACTCAAAGTTGTGTTTTGAATTAAGTACTAAAGCTTCTGTACTATTTTACATTACTTCGATGGATATTTAAATAATGCTTTTGAATTGAATATTTTAAACTATTTGGAAAATTATTATGTTTGGATGTTATTTTAGTGACAACCCGATCACTAGATTGTGTATTCGGGTTACGCGGGTCGGGGTGTTATAGTTTTCCTTTTTAAATTTTCTGCTTGCCTAAAGTTCATGTTTGAATGGAGTTGATTTTCAGTTTTTCTTTGGCATCCCCTAGTAACCAAGGCAATAAAACAACTATTTTCTCAGGGATTAAGACCTTGAGCTGGATTTGATTGCCATTGTCTTGGTTTTAGCTTTACTAACAGAGCTATTTGGTGATTTTCTTGGTTGTTTGATTTGCTTTACTTATTGCATCCATATTTCTGTACAAGGATGGACTTATTTTTGTGGGAAGGGAACCACCCATCACTGGAAGTGTTTATTTTTTTCTCGGCACGGGAAATGAAGTGCACCAAAAATTATTTTTCTTTTTAAAACTCTTATCTTACAACTCTAGTGGAACCTAACTAGAGAGAACACAACTAGAGAGAGTACTTGCCCCTTTTTTGATGGATTCAGTAACACTCTAATCTGTCCATGTCTGCAGGCCCTTTCATACTCACATATTAACTTGATAACATAAAAATTTAAAACATTTCAACAGTTGAAACTATATTTCATCATCATAAAATATTTAGAAACAATAATGGAGTTGATCAATTAAATTGCAGAAGTTAATGAATAGTTTTAGATCATAATTAGTAATTCATTTTTTTTAAAAATAATTATTGAACAGTTCAAAAACATCACACCTGACATCTCGTGTCCCCATCTGCCGCCAGGATCAATCACATCATTCTTTATTTTGTTTACCTGTGTGTAGCAAATAAAACATACTACACATTTAGCTTTGAAGCTGAGTAACCATATATAATGCATCAAACATCCATATAAATTGAATCTCAATTCATAATCAAATCATTTGATATCATACACATAATATTCATTTTAATTATTTAATATTCATAATGTCAATAGTGCACTTAAACTTGTAACACCCCGGCTCCCACCATGGCCGTAAGTGTGTGCTCATAGGATTGTAGACTGGATCCACAAACTAACACAAGTCTTTCCCGCGCACTTTGTCCTCACTCATGGGTGTCGATGGAACTTTCACGGGGTCACCCATCCTAGAATTGATCCAAGTCAAGCACACTTAACTATGGAGTTTCTAAGTGATGAGCTCTCAAAAACAAGATGCACCTTGTTGGTATGAGTAGTACTATCAATTCTCTTGAGATTTTTCTTTCCCCAATTTATTTATTTTCAAATCAGGGTATTACATTCACCCACACTTAGGAATCCAACGTCCTCGTTGCATCTTTTTGTTCAAACCCCTTGATCTTCCCCACTAAGTGAACTAAGCTCATAGGCCCGTCACGGTCGCAGAGTTGCTCTAACACAATTTGTAACTCTCTGGCCCCCACCCTGGCCGTAAGTGTCTGCTCATATGATTCTAGAGTGGCCCCACAAATACACACAAGTCTTTCCCGTGCACTTTATCCTCACTCGTGCACGCCCAAGGAACTTCCAAGGGGGTCATCCTTCATAGAAATGCTCCAAGTCAAGCACGCTTAACTTTGGAGTTTCTAAGTGATGAGCTCTTAAAAAGAAGATGCACCTTGTTGGTATGAGTAGTACTATCAATCCTTTTGAGTTCTTTCTTTCCCAAATAATCGCGATATTACGAAACAATTTTTAGTGTAAGGTAAATTTCATAACAATGCTCTTAAACTATTCTTAGTCTAAGGTCAAATCATATTTTCTTAACTAAACTCTTAAACTATGGCTAGTTTAAGGCTAATCTATTTTTTTAACCAGACTCTTAAATTATAAATTAGTTTAAAGTAAACCCCCTAAAGAGGAGTAAAACAAGTGTTCTATCCTAAAAATAAGATAGAGTTCTAACATAAACTCCTCTAAATATGAATAATTCCCACGTGTCTCATTCCGAAACTATATCTTGGCCTATTCTTGATCCATTCCAATCTCCTCCCCGCCTCCCCCTTTCTCTCATTCTTCGAGAACTCACACCACCCTTGTCGCCTCCCCTTTTCTCTCATTATTAATACCATCCTAACATGACTATTTAGTGGGCCCATTGACATTATACTTCTATACAGTAGAATGGATAGATCCTATATATATTAGTCACATCTCTAAATATGCTTAGCGGCATACCAAACGCATAACTGTACGTCTACCAGTATATATCAAATAGCATTACTTATGAATCAAAGCATATGGCCCCACATACCAGAGAATGTTATAACTTCAAGTCTGAGGATAGTTATAGCAAGGTTAAAGTGAGAATACTGATAAACACATAACTGTAGATCCAGGTAGTATTTGTTGGAACACACTTTATATTGCCTAGAATGAAAGTCGTGTTCGTTTTTGACAGGTTTTGATAATTGCCAACGTTGGGTTCTACGCTTGGATAGGGCAGCGGAAAACAAAAAAAATTAGGTCCAAACGTAGATCCACCCAGGACCTCTTATGATTATTATAAGTTATTGTTTAGAAATATACCTTTCTT